AGGGGAGGGAGCTTGGTACTAGGGTTGAGAGTCAAGTCATAAAGGTCCATTTCGAACTGTGAGCCCATACAATCTTTAGGAAGTTTTCATCTTTGGATATCTGAGGACTCGGGGCAAGGGTGGACTAAGTACCATGATGGATTCCTCGACAGTATGCCAGACCGTCCAAACAGTGCTGCAAATCACTCTAGAAAAACACTGTATCATCTTGAGAGATGAAAACCCCAAACTCCCAACAGTGGTGGTGAAATAAGCCGATCTAAACACCTTTATCCTGTTGTTTTTAAAGGACAGGCTTAGGCTCAGATTAAATCCTTGAACTCCTTTTGAATGTGTCCTAAAGAAACACTACAGTTATGTGATGAACTAGGGAAGAAACGAGCAGCAAGTAAGCCGTGCACCACGTGACCCATTCCTTTAGAAAAGGACAACAATTACAGTAAAACTGTATGCCTTTATTCAACAGGCATCATTGAGACAGAACTGTAGCATACATTTGACTTTCAAGACAGCATCTATAGTACCAGTAAAGAAAGAGTAGAGAGGAACGGACGATAGTGTGGAGTTGAAGGCAGACTGCTCGTGTGTCCAAGTGCTGAGGCCTACACGCACAAAGACTGTGGTCAACAAGTTATGCTAAGGCCATCTCTTCTGATTCCCTTGGTGCAGATGAAAGGCGTGCTGGAGAAGCTCACTGGATTAGTTCTGAACACATCAGAGCACACACAGCTCCCGGCTTTTCATCTTCTGGAGATCCATGTATTCCACAGCTTTCATGTGCTCAAAAAGTTTCATGTATTTTTTCAGGAACAAGTTTGATTAAACTGTCCTGTTCCCAGCCCAGGATATTCCTTCTTGAGACAGGCTCTCATGTAGCCCAGCCTGGCCTAGAACTTGCTACAGCTGAAGATGACCTTAAACTCATCTTTTACCTACCAATTCCTGGGCACTTCAGGCATGCAACCATACCCTCCTCTCCTCTGACCACTTGCCAGTGACTGACAGAACTCCATTAAGAAGTGTTAAAGTGATGATAGACAGAGTTCAGCAGGGTTAGTACTAAAGTCTCTACATGTTAATACTGCCTGAAAACCTAACTGGAAAAAAAAATTGCTAACTTGAAGGGGAAATTCCAATTTCAGTTCTAAACCCTAGGTTATCTGAAAACATTAGACTCTGGTTTTCAAAATAAATTTATATGCTACACGTTACAAAGTACCTAGACTATGTGTGAAATAAATTCAAACTTCTCTTCAGATATCAGAAGAATCTTAATTAAATTTAATAAAACTTAGTGTTGGTTTAAATGGGACTAATACAGTGTTTATCAAGTTCAGATACACATAGCCCTAGCTCTGACTTATGGCAAAAGCCGCTGTAATTCACAAAAACTATTCTTTTAGTCCACGTCCCAAATCAAATTCCAGACAACATTCATGGTGACTCATGTTAAAATTAATCTTTAAAAAGGGCTTGTTAAAGAGTAAGGCACTCAGCTGAAATCTTACTTAAATCCATTTAAAAGCCACATCTTGGGTTTATCCTTATTCTTCTCCCCAAGGGATCCTTTAAGTTTTGCAGTTGAGATGAAAATCAAGTTTTTTATTTTTATTTCTACCCCTCAGCTTCTTTGAGTTTCAAAAACAAGAAAAATGAGGTTGAGGTTCTGGAGAAGCCATGATAGTCATCGCAGCCTCCACGACTGATCTTTGCCTTTGTCAGGGCTCCTCTTCTCTCTTCTAAAAGCCTTCGGGGTGTGAACTCCTGTGAAATGTCCCAAGGGTCCTGGAGAGCTTGGTGAGATACACTGAGCATCCCTTTGAAGTGCAGATGCAGATAGTGTGGTATGTAGCAATCGGGTTATGAGCCCAATCATCTGGTTGAAGACTTCAAGAGGTAAGGAAAATTCAAGAGCAAGTACTGACTATGACTTTTCACCTCCTACACTCCTAAAGAAATAGCATTTGGGCCTAAGGAAAGAGGCGGAAGTGCATTTTCATTCTGTGACTTAAGGGCAATTCTACAAAATTAAGATTACTTATTAAAGTGATCCTATCGCCGGGCGGTGGTGGCGCGAGCCTTTAATCCCAGAACTTGGGAGGCAGAGGCAGGCGGATCTCAGTGAGTTTGAGACCAGCCTGGTCTACAAGAGCTAGTTCCAGGACAGGCTCCAAAACCACGAGAAACCCTGCCTCAAAAAACCAAAAATAAATAAATAAATAAAAAATAAAAAAAAATAAAGTGATCCTATACATCCACTATGAAGAAAAGAAAATCAAATGAAGGGATTCTTCTCAGCAAGAATATGAAACTTGACATTTAAAAATTCCCTAATGCTGCATTTGCCTCAGCTGTTTATTTAGCCTCTCCATTCCGACAATCCCAAAAAGACACACCTTACTAATGTGGCTCCTTAGGTCTACATTAGCTGCTTTCATCTTGGGGCACTTCTTCAGGTGACTACTGCGCTGTCCAGCACTCAAAGCTTCTATTCTACAACTCACTTATACTTATTCTGGGGAACCCAGCCTTAACTGGACAGTAAGAACTACAACCAGTGCTGCATGGCTGCAATTTTAGGAAAAACTGTTGAGGTGAATGTTTTATAATCCTTGCGTAGCCAGCACTTTGGCAACACTGAGCAAAAAATAAGCACAAAGTAAACACTTCAGTAACAGGATTTGTATACAAATGGTGAGGAATGTTCAATGTGACTGAAACTCAGTGGAGATAAAGCAGTGTGAGAAGCAATAAACACAGGTTTCCAAGACAGTGGGAAGTCAATAAAGCCCCATATCACAGGAATATGCATCTTGCTTATGATGTAACTGAGCTTGATATGTACTATTACATAAATGGGAGTTATTTTAATAGACACAATACTTAAATATCTCACCTTCATTACTTTCATGAGTAAAAATGACACAGTAGCTCCCGAGTTAGTGAGTTTCCCTTGTGTTTGCACACTATGCACATACTCAAGTGCACCTGCCTGTATGTAGTGGACAGATGCTCATGTTGGAATGTTCATCTGGGTTCATTCACCACGTTTTTACGTTTTTCAAGACAGGGTTCTCTGTAGCTTTGAAGCCTGTCCTGAAACTCAGGGAGATCAGCCTGCCTCTGCCTCCTGAGTGCTGGGATTTTTTTTTTTTTTTTTTGGTATTTCGAGACAGGGTTTCTCTGTGGCTTTGGAGCCTGTCCTGGAACTAGCTCTTGTAGACCAGGCTGGTCTCAAACTCAGAGAGATCTGCCTGCCTGTGCCTCCCAAGTGCTGGGATTAAAGGCGTGCGCCACCACCGCCCAGCCAGTGCTGGGATTATAAGTGTGTGCCACCACCGCCTGACAGGGTTTTCTCACTGTACCTAGAACCTGGCCAGGAAAGCTCCAGATTAGCCTTGCCCGACTTTAGTGCTGGTATTACAGGCCAATGCCACAAACATGCAACTTCCATGTGGGTGCTGGGGTTGTGCAGTCCTCATACTTGGGCAGCAAGTGCTTTCACTGAGAAATTTGTTTTAGTTAACAGCACTTCCAGCTGAGACCTGTAAGGCCATCGTCTTGGACAGCTGAACTAACTTCCACGTTTTTACATTAACTTGGATGATGGAATCTTCAAGATACTTTTTCTTGAGACAGGGTTTCTCTGTAGCTTTTGGAGCCTGTCCTGGAACTAGCTCTTGTAGACCAGGCTGGCCTCGAACTCAGAGATCCACCTGCCTCTGCCCCCCACGTGCTGGGATTAAAGGCGTGTGCCACCAACCGGCTCAAGATATTTTTTAGAAGGCCATGTAGTCAGGCTTGGTGGCATGTACCTTTAACCCCTGCACTCAGGAGCAAGAGCACTAAACTTCATCCAAGTCCTTCACTACTCTATTTTCTACAACAGGAGATCATCTTCATCTCAAGCCATTCTCAGTTAGTGGACTTTCACCCTAATCAAGCACAGATGTTCCCAACAACACAGATTTAGCTTCTGACTTGCCCAGATCAGTCAAGAAGGCCATGAATTAGCTTACCTCCGAGAATGACTGGGCAACAGAAAAGCCTTCTGTACCTTTAAGGTTAGTTCTTCAACAATCTGGTCTGGTCTGTAGTGGCTGCAATGTCTAACAAAGCGTCAAACACTTCGGAGAAAGCCTGTATCCCCTAAAAATTTCCTTACCTTCCATAGTGTTAGAAGAAACCACAGGCACTGCTTCTCTCACTCTCTCAGTGACATTCGGTGGTCAGGAGAAAGGACAGATGAGGGCGAAAACACGACAGATAAATGGTGAAGTTTTAATATTTTTACTAAAGTTCTGAAATTCACTACCCTGACTTATGGCCAAGTTCCTCAGTGACTCTCTCCCAATCTGTGGTGACCTTCCCTCCCACAACGGTTTAAGGCAACTCTGAGGGTCCTTCCCCACATCATATTCAAATGTCAGAACGCAAGACTCATCAAAAAACTACAAGGTTTTAAATTTCACTTTTAATTATCTTTTACTTAATAATAAAATGAAAAATAATATATGAATACATACAATCTATATACATATATTTATTGCAAATACTTAAAATTCTTATTAAAATGATTTTTCCTTATTTGTGAAAAAATATGACTTATTAAATGGCGTTGACACCAACTTCTCTGTACATACCCTCAATTCCAATGTTAACAATTCCTTTAAAAAGGCAAAAGACGCAAAAATTGAGCATTTACCAAACCAGTCTGTACAAACCTTATCACCAGCGAGGGAAAAATAGCTTGTGGTAAATAAGTCAATTTTCT